GGGAGGGCGCCTCGGAGGCCAGGCCGCGGCACTTGGCGAGGGAGCGGGTGCCGGGAGGCCCTAGCGGCGGGGACAAAGGGCCGCGGTGCTCGCCGTCTCCGGGATCCCCGGGTCCGGGCGCCGGCGTTCGACACCCCTCCCTCCGAGGAACACCGGGGTCACCTGGCTCCGGGAGGGGGTCGGCGAGCGAACTTTTGTGGGAAGCCGGATGTGTCGGTGACTGCGGGGGCGCAGCAGCTGCGGGCAAGTTGCCCACAGACACGACTGGTCGGCGGGGGGAGCGAGCGAGAAAATTGGATTACTAACGGTCTCCTGCGGAATGTTTTGTGCCCGCGGTCAGGAGCACCAGGACTTTCTGTTTCAAAACTGAGTTTTACAAAGCCCCGAGTGGAGTGCCGTCCCATCATTTTCTGACCTGCAGGGTCCACCTCTTAACCCTCCTCCCTATGCAAGAATTGTAGTTTATTGTTTGGAGGGGATTTACTTTTATTATTTTTTTAAATGTAAGTGCATATCTGTGTGTGTATGCACATTTCCGTCCTGGTGCTGCTCGGGGCCAGAAGAGGGCGTTGGATCTCCCGGAGCTGAACTTACAGGCAGTTGTGAGTGTTTCTAGATATGAGTGCTGGGAACTGAACTCAGTCCTCTACAAGAGCAGCAAGTGGTCTTAAAACACCAATCTCTCTAGTCCCTTATTTTTATCTTTACTTTTAATTTATTTAATTTGGAAGTAAAGCTGCCCTGCAATTCATTATCTTCCTGCCATGTTTGCCAAATGCTGGGGCTACAGGCATGTCTCACCAGGTCCAGCTATATCTATTTTCATTGATTTTATTGGGAATTTGTGTTTTAGCCTTAAATTATATCTTGTAAGTTTTTATCTTATGAATCTTAGTGTGTGCATGTGTTGCACACCTGTGCACCTGTGCCATGGTATGTCAAAGGACAACTCTGGAGGGAGGCAGCTCTCTCCATTAGGAGTTTGAGGAATAGAATTGACCAGCCAAATGCTTTTACCCACCTAGCCGACTTGGCAGCCTCAAATTATAACCCCTGTGAAAATTTGTGTTGGTTCCCTCCCCCTTTATTTTCTATTTGTACTATAATCCCTTAGTAATGGAGGACTCTATGGTACTAACAGAAAGAATATTTTCATGTTTATCTGCAATTCTTAATGTAATTAATAATTTATTGGCATTTGTTATTGGTACATTTATTTGAATGGTTGTGGCTTCCACTTCTCTCTCTGAAGTATTTACTGACAAAATGAGATAATCATTAGGATAATTTTCATTTACAGTTTTGTTTTGATACTATCATTTTAAAATTGGAACAGACGTTATAGTTTGTGGTAGAAACCTTGCCTCATACACGTGAGGCCCTAAGTTCCACCTCCAGCAGCACCTGTATACACATACACAGAGACTTTAAAATGCATTAAAATAATACAGTATTGATTTTTTGAAGATGTGTTTTTGTTATTTTCAATTATGTGTATGTGCACAGGTGTCCCAGGAGGTCAGAGGTCTCAGCTGCTCTCCCCCTGGAGCTGAAGTTCAGATGATTGTGAGCTGCCCCAGAACTAAACTCTTCTGCGATAGCAGTACATACTCCTGACTGCTGAGCCATCCCTCTGGCCCTGAATTCAGTTCCCAGCACCCACATCTGGCAGGCCACCCAGCCTGTTAAGTCCAGCTCCGGGATACAACACTGTCTTCTGGCCTCCAGCAGCACCAGAACCGAAGTGTGCATGCACACACAGACACGCACATAATTTTTAAACAGTTCTTATATGCGTTTAAATACTGGAATTGAATTTGACTAAAGTCTAAAGTTGAGATTTGCGTAGTAGCGGTGCATTTGGCAATGCTTTCAGATTGCTGGGCGTTAGCCATGTTCCGTGTTCACTGTAATTTTTTTTTCATGCCTGTGTCGTAGTAGAAACCTAGTATTCTAGGTTTCTTTAAGGATAACCACCCAAGCCCGAAGTTTTGAATATTTAAGTAATCTTTGAGAATGATCTTCAAATCATTTCTCAAATGATTCCTCAAGGTTTTTGACACAAGCAACTAATTCTTGGCCTATGTTGGGATTTTCTTTTCTTTTTTCTTTTTTTTTTTGCTTGTTTGATTTTGTGACCTGCCACTTGCCTTTAAGTTACAGTTTTTGTGTGTTTGGTTTTGTTTTTAGCTTCCTGGCAGTTACTGAGGGGCTTCTTTGAGGAACCATGAAGTCACACTATGCTGTGCTAACCCTAGCCTCCCTGGTGTTCCTGATGGGTCTCCCTGTGTCACGGAGCTGTAACAAAGCTCTCTGTGCCAGCGATGTGAGCAAGTGCCTCATCCAGGTAGGGTAAACGGTGCTTTTGTCGGTACTGGACACACTGTGGACAGGCAGATGCTGTGGAATAGATCAAAGCCAGAGTATATGATCTGAACTTTGGGCCAGGACCTGAGGTGCTGATCTTTAGATTTTTATCTCTATGGCTCGCTTCCATCCAACTGAGGTTGGGTTTAAGAAGTTCGATCTAGAATGTGCTATTCTGCTGTGTAAGCATGCTGCTGTACATGATGAACACGCTAGTCTCTATAATCTACCGTGCATGGTGGTGTCTTAATAACTATATTTAGAAAACTTTTAGCCTATCAATTAATAGACAAATTATTACATGTACCGTATTATTTTTTGGTTGCTGTGTACCAGATGATATCAAAACCTAGCAACCTCAGGCAAAAGTGCATCACCTCCTGAAGCTTCTGAGGTCGTGGGTCTGGGAAGCAGTGCGGCTGGGAGGTTCTGGGTCAGGCTTGCTCACAAGCTTGCGGGCTGGGATTATTGAATCTCCTTCCAGGTATTTGGAAATTATCCTTTCCAGTGGAAACCAGGTGATCAGATAGTTACCTCCCGTTTTCCTGAGGCGCAAAGTGACAGTAAGTCA